AGGGAAGGAGGGAAGGAGGGAGGGAGAAAAGAAGGGAAGGAAGGAGAGAGAGAGAGAGAGAGAGGGAGAGAGAGAGAGAGAAACATTCATGTGTGAGAGACACATCAATTGGTTGCCTCTGCACGTGGGATCGAACCTGCAACCAAGGTATATGCCCTTAACTGGGAATGAAACCCGAGACCCTTTGGTCCTAGGGCTAACACTTAACCACTGAGAAAAACCGGCCAGGGCTGTTTATTTTTGAGGGGGAGGATTGGGGAGTGACTAGAAAGAGGAACTTAGAGAAAACTGGTCTTTCTGATACTGGAACCAATCTCTCTCTCTCTCTCTCTCTCTCTCTCTTATTGCTTTAGATATTTGTTTCTCCAGAAAAACAAAATTCTTTCCAGAAGGTGAGTGAGCTTCTGGGCCTCCTGTTCTTTATTCTACATTGGGCAAGGATACTATTTTTAAAAACAGGATAACAAATAACAAATGGCTTGGAAATATAGTTATTAAGACTAAGACTGTAATAGGATGCACCAGAGATGGGGACTGTGGTAAGGGCAGGAGAAAAAAAGTGCCTGTTGGAGAAGTAGGTTGGATTGCATGTTAGCGTAGAGTTTCCAGACTCTGGCAACGTCGGCTTGCTCCGTGTGGGTCAGTGTGCTGGGCCCCGGGATCACAGCCCTGGGAAGCACTTTTGAATTACATGGCCAGTTCTCACATGATAGCACTGGACTGGGGAGTCAGATGGCCTTAGGGTCTAGTCCTCGCTCTCTCACTCATTAGCTCTAGAGCCTCCTGAGCCATGGTTATCCTGACTTTAAAATGAATGGGTTAGACCAGAAGATCCCTGTGATTCAGAATGTGGCTTCCTCTGGAATTTCAGTCTTTCCTGGATCCCAGAAGAATTGTACTGCCTGACAGACCTTGGGAAGGGATAGTGAGGTCTAGATGTGGTTGAAAATTCAAAAAACTTCCGGAAGTTGTAGAAGTTACAGGTTCAGTCCTGGCAAGGCCTTGCTAGCTCGGAGAAGTGAATCTCTGTCATTCTATGTGCCGGAACAGAAGAGTTGGGAGACAGATCCAAGTCCCTGCTCTGACACATGTCTGCTGAGTACTGACAGCATGCTACACCTTCTCTGGGCTTGTTTCTTTTTCAATCATCTATGCATAGTCCTCTGGCTGCCTATCTCTGAGGATGTGGGGATGGGTCTGCAAATATAGTGCTTGTCATTTACACACAAGGAGGAGGACACAGGCTCCCTGGCATGGGCAGTGAGGGCCCAGAGTCCAGGAATGAAAACTTCCATCACTGGGAAGAGAATATCAACAGGGGGCTGGAGGTGACCTAAATACTCTCTGAGATAACTTTTCCTTTCTTTGCAGAGGAAGATGGTGGTGCATCTTGTTTAGGTAAGGATGGGAGCCAGCTATGTTCAGGGTGGCTGCACCCTTCACCCTTGAGCCCTCTGGCCTCAAGGACTGGAGCTCAGGTGGGGTGGCTGAGTATGTATGTGTGTGGGTTGGGGGGGAAGGCTTGAGGGGAGAAAGGTAGGTCAGGGCCCAAAGCAGGTTTTAGCATTAGTCTGGGGGTTGCATCTGTCTCCTCTAAACACATTGGTTGTGCATAGACATCACCTAGGGCAGCGGTCTGCAAACTCATTAGTCAACAGAGCCAAATATCAACAGTACGACGATTGAAATTTCTTTTGAGAGCCAAATTTTTTAAACTTAAACTATATAGGTAGGTACATTGTTATTAACTTAATTAGGGTACTCCTAAGGCTTAGGAAGAGCCACACTCAAGGGGCCAAAGAGCCGCATGTGGCTCGCGAGCCACAGTTTGCTGACCACTGACCTAGGGGAACTTTAAAAGTAGTGATGCCTGAGTGCCACCTCCAGAAATTCTGATTTAATTGATCTGGGGGGTATGGCCTGGGCATCAGGATTTTTAAAATCACTTCCCAGGTGATTCTCATGTACAGTCAAGGCTAAGAACTACTGCTCTAACTTCTTCTAAATCCTCACTACTCTTAGTGTGATCTAAAGACTTCACTTTGAAAGGTAAGGACTCAATAAGCTTTGATTTCCGGGAGGTGGAGAAGAATTTGAGGTTGGTACTAGACTGGGGGTGAGCTAGGGAGATGGAAGTGGGGTCAACGGGCAGCAATGATGGTGGGTGTTTGGGAAGAAAGGTGCTTCATTTTAACAGGAAAAGATTAGAGGAAGGGAAGATACAGAAGTGTTCTCCAGAAGAAACATAGACGAAGAGTAGGGTCTTGGTAATGGAGCTTGTTGGGCTGGGTAGGTTGGGTTCTTAACTGCTGCTTCTATAGGAAAGTCTTTGAACTTGGAGGATTTAAGAAACATGAAGGAGAAGGTGCAGGACACAGTGAGTGGTCCCCAGGATCTGCCTGAAGAGGAGCGAGATGTGCTAAGCTACCTCACTAAGTGCCTCACCACAGATGAGGAGCTGAAGGATCTAGATGAAAAAGTAAGAGACCCAAGAAAGAACTTGGGCAGTGAGAGGGAGAAGGCTAGGTGGAGGGCAGCGGACACACTGCAGACAATCTGCTTTAGTGGGACTTGTGCTCATCTCCCATCTCCTGGCCATAGGTGTTTAAAGTCCTGACCTCCGATGAGCTGCAGATGGAGGGCCCAGCAGGTCCTCTCCTGAGTAGCCTTTTTAATGCTGCTGGCATCTTGGTTGAGGCATGCGTAGAAGCCATTCTGGAGTTCCTGGAAGCCTTGAAGGGTGAGGAGGAGTCTGGATGGATGCTGATGTGGAGGACATGCTGAGCAGAGGGGTCTGTGGGGAAACCAAATCTTGGCAGGAGGGTGTTACACACTGCCTTTACCTCTTGTGAGGAATAAACCATCACATTTCAGAAACTGGCCATTTCCCCAGACCAGGGGTTGAGGGACTGCCCCCTCTTCCCCCTTGGCACAGTCTCTGACCTCCTGGAGGCTAAGAGGGAAGCAGGAGCCACAGTGAAGGCCCATGCTTTCAAGGGACCCAGAAGTCCCAGGATTCTGTCCCTCCTGACTTTGTAGTTCTTTGTCAGCTCATGTCCATCAAGCTGGTTTGTGGCATATAGTTTCTGGGACAATTAGGAATGTGCAAGGGGTGGGGTGTAACTGTTAGTCCCAGGAGCCCATTTGGAAATACTCCCATCTCGCACTCCCAGGAGCTCTCTGGAACCTCTTGTCTTGGGTCTGATCAGACACTGAAGCCCTGTCCCACTGTGTGCCTCTCCCTCTTTTTTACCCTCAGAGCTGTCTGAGGAGAAGGAGCTTATGGCTGAGACCCTGAAGAAGGGGACCCTGCCCCTGATGAAGGACCGGGTAAGAGAGTCTGGGCTGAGGGCCAGGCCTTAGTAGAAGTGAATGCCCATGCTTTCAAGGGACCCAGAAGTCCCAGGATTCTGTCCCTCCTGACTTTGTAGTTCTTTGTCAGCTCATGTCCATCAAGCTGGTTTGTGGCATATAGTTTCTGGGACAATTAGGAATGTGCAAGGGGTGTGTGTGTGTAACTGTTAGTCCCAGGAGGCAGTTGGTACCATCTTAAGTGCCAAACTGATTGGTTAGCAGTACCTGTCACTATGCTGAGAGTATCAGGTCTCCAGGCCTGCAGAAAAGAGGGCCCTGCTGGATGACTGTGTCTGCTATGGGCTCAGGGTTCAGGAATGTGGCCAAATATTAGGCATTGCTGGTATGTTTCTATGTTTCTAGCTTTTACAGTCTGGTGGGTTTCCTTCCAGGTGGAGTCTATCCTGGAGCAGAACTGGGGTGAGCAGCCCTGTGATGTGGGCTGTGCCTTTGAGACTCTCTATGCCCTCTATGTTGCTGTCTCCATCCTGCTGCAGCTGAGTGAGAAGCCTGCCTCTGTGCCTTCCTGTTAGCTCTTTTTTTTTTTCAATCCTCACCCGAGAATATTTTTTCCATTGATTTCTAGAGAGAGTGGAAGGGAGGGGGGAGGGGAGGAGAGAGAGAGAAACATCAACGTGAGAGACACATTGATTGGTTGCCTCCCACATGTGCCCCTAAGGGGGCTGGGGAACCTGCAGCCAAGGTATATGCCCTTGATCAGGAATCGAACCCGAGACCCTTCGGTCTGCAGGCTGATGCTCTAACCATTGAGTGAACTTAGCTTTTTAACCATTCTCCCCACACACCTCTGGGTGCTCCCCTCCCAGTCCATCCTCACCCCCCCACCTTCCCCAAGTCACCAGAATGAGGTCTTTAGAACAAGCACCTGGCTCTTCTTCGATACATCCCATTCCCCACATGATAATGTACAAAACCAGACTGGATTGTATGCATAGAATTCTGATTAAAAGTGGAAGATTGATCATATTTATTTCCTCTCCTTCTTGAAACTTCACTTAATGACAGTAAAGCAATAGAAACGACATAAACCCACAAGAATAAAAGGAGTGAGGCAGCAGGTAAGGGATTTCAACACATCTTTGGAAGCTAGAAAGTCATTAAAGGAGTGCAAGCCGGGAGGTGCAGGGCTGAGGGGTGCCTTTTAGTTCTATTTAATATTTTTTAAGACAATGTAATTAAAAGTAAAAGACATATGCTTGTTATAAAGGATTTCAAATATTTCTCAAAGTCAAAGTTGATCCTCTTTTCCATCTAATATACAACCACTATTCACATTTTGAGGTATGTTAACATTTTTCCTGTGCAACAGCTTTTAAAATGGTAATTTAAACATGAAGCTAGCCCTAGCCGGTTTGGCTCAGTGGATACAGCATCAGCCTGCAGACTGAAAGGTCTCGGGTTCGATTCCAGTCAAGGGCACATGCCTAGGTTGTGGACTTGATCCCCAGTTAGGAGGTGTTCAGGAGGCAGCCGATCAATGATTCTCTCTCATCATTGATGTTTCTATCTCTCCCTCTCCCTTCCTCTCTGAAATCCATAAAAATATATTTAAAAATAAATTAAAAAATAAACATGAAGCTAGGGTGATATAACATAGATTTATTTTGTATCTTTTGAGCTAGAGTTATTTTTTCTTTTAAGCTTGTAAAAATATTTATGCAACAGGAATTCTCATAAGTGCTGTTGGGAGTATATATTGGTCAACCACTTTGGAAGACTAACAGTATCTACCAAAACTAAACATATGCCTATGACCCAGCAACTCCACTTCCAAGGCATATACCCAAGAGAAATGAGTGACATATTCACCAAAAGACACGCATATACAAAAACGATAAGAGGCAAGCTAAAAACTCTTCAAACGTCCAATAACATTAGGATGGATACATATATTGTGCTATTAAACGTTAATATAAGAGGCAAGCTAAAAACTCTTCAAATGTCCAATAACATTAGGATGGATACATATATTGTGCTATATTTATACAATAAAAGAGAACAAATTACTACTATACATAACAACATGGATGACTCTCACAGACATAATGCTGAGCAAATGAAAGAACATTGGTTTTTTAAATTTATTGATTTTAGAGAGAGGAAGAGGAGATTGTTGTCCCACTTATTTATGCATTCATTGGTTGTTTCTTGTATGTGCTCTGACCTGGGATCGAACCCACAACCTTGGCTTATCGGGACAATGCTTTAACCAACTGAGCTAGGCCAGGGCAAAACACTCATAAAAAGCATGTACTTACTGACAAGATAAAGAAGCTCAAGCCAAAATATAAGTGAAAAGGAGACCTAGGAGATAAATGAAGTATCAGAACACTAATGCAATTTTACCCCAGGTAAAGGGGGTTGAGATCTGCAAATCTGAGTAAGTTGGGGCTTCAGTTTGGCCAGCCTTGTGGTCCAGAAGTCAAGGCCAAGGACCCATCCAAGATGGGGAGTCTAATAAAAGGAGACATTCTCCATATTAAACTGGAATCTCATTAAGGTAAGGGTGAACCATCAGTAAACCCACAGCCCTGGCCTCACCTGCAGGAAACTGTGGGGAAGACTTTTGGGATTGAGTGAAGAAGAGGTTTATAAAAAGGACAAAAGTTCTGAAATATTGTGGCCGTAGGCTAGTCTTTTCACAGAACTTAGCCTGCATTTTCATCATCTGGGTGTTTCAGAGTATCTCAAATTGCAGACTTAGTTTATGAGGGAACAGGATTGGTTGTGTACCCAGATACCTGTCAGAACTAAACACAAATCTTTTCTGGAGGAAGTTATTTTCATTTCCACAAAAAACATGTAAAGGACAAGAGTAGTTCCCAGTAAAAAATAACAAAGCATACAAGGAAATGACACTATGAGCAAGAATAAGCAGAAACAACAAACAGCTCAGACATAGATTCTCATGCATAAACAGACACTTGATATATGGGAGAAGTATCATTACAGATTAGTGGGGAAAGGCTAGACTTTTCCTTACTTTATTTTTTCTACTAGCATTGTAGGAAATGTTAAAGGGAGTGCTTTAAGAAGAAGAAGATATTGAGAGAGAGAGGAACATATGTCAAGGCTAGACTTTTCAATAAATGGTCCAGGACAATTGGGTAACCACGTGGATAAAAAATGAAATTTGATTCCTACCACCCAGCATCTCTAAAAATTCCAGGTATATTTCAGACCTAAATGTGAAAGGCAAAATTATAACTATATTAACATTAAAAACTTTTGTTCAATCAAAGATATAAAGAAGTGCCCTAGCTGGTTTCACTCAGTGGATAGAACATCTGCCTGCGGACAAAAAGAAAAAAGAAAAAAGAACTTTTTGCTTCTAAATACAAAAGTAATATATATGCTTTTATATTGTATAAGTGATTTCAAGCAAATTAATATATGGAAAGTACAAAGTTTTTATTGTATTATACTTTGCTACTCTTCTTGACCTTAATATAGTCTTAGGCACAGAGCAACAGATTCAGTTTGTAAACAAAACATTTCATTAAAAATCATCCACTAAATACACGTTCCTTTGTACAATGGAGATATTAGATTAAATGCCTTCTTAGAAATGCCATGTCAACTATCTTTTTTTTTCTTTTTTAGTTTCTAAAATGTATGTTTTCCAACGTTTTGGTCTCATTGAACTTTCTTAATGGAACTATGATGCTCTGGGATGTGAACAAATCTTATGTCCCCCACTTCCACAAGCAAGTAGCAATGCTTTCACCTCTAGTCTTCATATTGCAATTTTCGTTTGAAGTTTATGGGCAAAATTTAGCTCCGTAGGCAAGGATGGAAATGCAGGTGTGACAAGTAACATCAGCAGCAGGACTAAAAGTCCCAGGACTACAAACCACTGCAGAGGAAAACACATGGAGTAGATTATTATAATTTCAAGTAGAGGTATTTTATACCAATAGTATAAAGCTGCCTTTAATAACACATCATTTCTAAACCTATGATATATTGAGTAATGTTCTGTCAAGTAAGTTATAGAGAATATTTACGAATTTCAAACATTGTAATTTAATGATTTTAAAGGCAGGAGAAAGTTAGAATCCCATCTTTCCCATTAGTATCAGCATTTTATAGTATCTTCTGCAGTGCCCCATTTATGAGTTCCTATGCCTAATTCTCTAGTTCCTAATTCCAATTCTGTTTTCTAGGTAGGACCATTCTGTTTTCCTTCACAGTATAGTAGCTTAAGTCAGAACACTATAGAAATGTTCTGTAATATAAAAGAGTATATTAGGAAGAATTAATACAGATGAAGATAATTATATTTAGAAATTTGGTCTTTGAATTTTTACTTTTCTTTGGTTAAATATAACTTTTTTTGTAAGAGGATTGCTATAAAGATTCAATTCAATTATCCTAAGTGAATTATTAATTTGTTCTTCTAAGTACCCTAAATATTAATATATATGTATATTTAATTTTTATTGCATTTATTGGAGTTGGTTAATAAAATTATATAGGTTTCAGGTATACAATTCTATAATACATCATCTGTAGATATTTATATTTTATAATTACCGCAACAGGTAGCACAATTACTGTGTAGACCTTCATTTTTCCCAAAGCCTGGACGACAGCTATCCATACGTGCCATTTGAAAACTGTGGTCCATAAAATGCATAGCTGGTCGAGTTTTATTATAGTCATGGTAGAAAATAAATGCTTGGCTTCGGAAAAATTCTGCTATTCGATCTCTTGCCTATATTTTAAAATAGCAGTGAGAAGTACAATGACTAAACTGTGAAGCAATTTCTCCTCCTGCATCAGAGGCAATGAAACGTACTATCAGCACACTCACGCCATCCATGTTTTACACAAAAGATGAATTCCTGGAAAGTTATGTTAATACTAAAATTAGCCTTGACCTTACCAACTATTATCAATTCATATGTAAACTGGTTAAGAAAAATTAACTTGAGATTAATAAACACTTGTTTTGGATTATTTGCAGCATGTCTATTCCATTTTTAGATAATATTTATTATTTCTAATTCCAAAGAAACAAATAAAATGGAAACTAAACGTTTTCTCTAATCAGCATTATAAACTAATGAATAAATTTTATTTTTTTAAGCATAGAGTTTAATAAGGACTAATGTAAACTCAGTGCTTCCCATAACCCATGCACAATATAAAGGTTATGGGCTCAGGAACTAGACCAGGAGTGTGAAGGAATTTTTTTAGACTATGTCTTTAACCTCTGAGAATGGCCGAGGAGACAGCTACTATTATGATCACTAGAGGCCTGGTGCATGAATTCGTGCACAGGTGAGGTCCCTCAGCCTGGCCAGATCAGGGCCAATCGGGCCGGCCAGCCGGGGGAAGGGACCGCAAGATGTTGGCCAGCCATGGGAGGTTGGCTGTGGGAGTGCACTGACTACCAGGGGGCAACTCCTGCATTGAGTGTCTGCTCCCTGGTGGTCAGTGTGCATTATAGCTACTGGCCGGTCATCTGGTCGTCTGGTCATCCGGTCCTAATGGTCGCTTAGGCTTTTATATATATAGACCATAGATACAGTTTTGAAAGAACCACTGGTTTAACCTAGGAT